CCAAACAAAGTAGTTTCGCTTTCACAATGAAACACACAGCGTCTCCACGATATGTCGGTGGCGGCAACAATACTACAGCGAGAATAAAAGTTACGTTAACAACGTTAACATAAAGTTAACATTTGGGCGGTGTTATGTAAATCTTCCCACATCGTGACGTAGATATGTGGGGGCGTGTTTAAACGAGGCGTTTTAGGAGGGCGTGGACGAGTCTTAACTTTTATAAAGAATATCTCTTTGGGTTTGAGACTTTAGTCTTTGCAACTTTAGGGATCTTATCTATTCACGAACAGCTTGTAACACTCCAAAGTGAAAGGAAAACTTGAAATCGCATCATATGACCCCATTAAAAAATCTTACTTTACTCCAAATTTTGAATGGTAGAAGTGCCAGCTGAGATGTAAATAAGTCTTAACTTTTGTGTATTTGGTTGAGCTTTAGATCACCTTTAACATAAAATGCTTTTGCAGGGCCCGATGACTCAAATCCGCACTGTTAGCATCGGTGAGAAGAGACAGCCTGTTAACCACACCACTGTCAGCAAAACACACACCACCAACACCTCCACTTCCAAACCCACTACTGGAACCAGGTAAGCTGCCTGGATGATCTTGGTTTAAGATGTTTTTAAAGCCTTGCATCACAGCTAAAATGGAAACTATGTGAAATGCATTCCCAGGAAACCGCGTGGCGACGCCAAGAAGTGCCGAAAGGTGTACGGCATGGAGAAGAGGGACCTGTGGTGCACAGCGTGCCGCTGGAAGAAGGCCTGCCAGCGCTTCACTGACTGAGCTTTATCCTTTACCCCACTTCAAAACGTGCTCATTTATTGCGGCTGTTCCACGGACTGAGCGCTGGTGTCTCCTGCACACTCTGAGTGAACTTCATGAGCTGAGATGTGTCCGTCTGAGGCATGTGGCTGATTCCTCCAGGCCACAAGGGGTGCTCTTTTCTTACCGCTTCCATAGTGGAACACTGAGACTTTTATTCAGAAAAAAAAACCTGATAAAAAGCAAAAAAAAGAGAAAAAGAATTGAGAAAAAAAGCTTTTGCTGCATTGCATATTAAGGCAAGAAGAAGTTTTTCTTAAGTAATCCAGAAACAAAACATTCAAAGCAGATTTTCCAGGCAGTTTATTATACTTTCATGTTTTGTGTGCGTTCTGTGGAGTACAGCTAACGATTTTTCCTGATTTTAAGTGTGGCAGACTTTATACATAGCAGTTTTTACTGTTAAAAACTCCGTAAGCTATTTTTGATGGGTATTGTTGAGTATTTTAAACAGTTAACCCTCTTCCCGCACTTACCGAGCAACTCAAATTAATTTATACGGACATCATTTAAGCTTCAAACAACTTGGTTTTGTTCCAAATCAAACTGTTTCTGGACTTACCGCTTCATTTTGCCTACAAGCACTTTTTAATGGCCATTTTGATTTTGATCAAGCGGAGTACAGTTTAGCATTGCATCGCAATCGGCGCGTTGAGCGTTTTAGCAAATAGTCAAGAACCGTTTCGACACATATTGCTAAAGTAATACCTCTAAACAAGAATGAGCCTTTCGGAGAGAGCCTTTAGTGTACTTCAGCGCGAGGAGTTGTAGTGCAGGAATGTAAACTGGCCTCTCTCTGCGCTAACGCACCCAAACTATTCTGTCCCTCACAGATCAACTGCCTCTTCATAAGCTATGAGGTTTATTCCTGTCAGTCCACAGTATTAATTCAATGGCAGGCACTTTAACTGGCCACACTTCGGATTTAACAAGTCAATCTGCTGTCGAGGGAAGTCATCCCAGTCTAATGTGATCCATAAATCGAGTGTTTTCCACACAAACACGCCTTCCCACATAACATTATGCTTCCTAAGGAATTATTTGCTTCTCGTTCAGCATATGGGTATTATTCACGTAAAGGAAACGCTTGCTCTGATAACGTGTAGACGTCTTCCACTGTGCTTTTTTTTCATATCGAGGTGATCATGTGATGTCTTCATGTAAACGGTGTGCTATCTGACCCTCTCAATATGAGTGAAGCAGCTCTGAGCTCTTACACTGCTAAAAAAACTAAAGATTTGTTGTGTATTTTTGTCTCGTATACAAATACCTAAACATCAAGATACATCTGCTTGAGAATGAAAATGACTTGTTTTCTTAAAAATGTATCAAAATTAAGTGAGTTTATGCTTAAAGCAAGAAAAAAAAACTTTTTTCTTCTGGTTTTAAGCATAAACTCACTTACGTTTGTTATATGTTTTCAGAAAATAAGTCATGATATCTAAGTAAATGTATCTTAATTTAAGAGTGTTTAAATATTTGTACTGGAAATCAAGACTCTCTCTCTCTGTATATATATATATATATATATATATATATATACATATATACATATATAATTTTTTGCAGTGAACCCATGAAACACTGACAGTCATTGGACATTTGAATGTGATCTGTATCTTAAAGGAACAGTTCACCCCAAAATAAACATTCTGTCATCATTTACTCACCCTTATGTCGTTTCAAACCTGTTTGACTTGTGTGAAACATAAAAAGATATTTTAAAAGTATTTTTTGTCTATACAATTGAAGTTAGAGGGGTTTACAAACAACATTGGACCCCATTGGCTTTCATTGTATGGACAAAATGACCAGACAGAAATACTAGAGATAATATCAAAATATCTCCTTTTGCAATCCACAAAAGAAAAAAGTCATACAGGTATGAAACATCATGAAGAATGATTGGGATTTTTGGGTACACTATCCTTTTAAGGTATGTATATAAAGAAATATTTAAAAATGCATTTTTTTTTTTAAAATTTGTTATTTTGGGGTCAAATTATTCCTTAAAAAAGAAACTCTAATTCCAACCCAAGCTGGTAGCTTTTTGTTTCAAGGTATGGGAATTAAATCATGTTTAAGCTTTCATCAGATCATCCAAAACTGGCAATCAAAATGTAGCTCCCAAAAAATGTAGCAGTTTAACCATTAATGATGGGAATCAAAGAAACAATTGGGCAGGTGTGTAATTGCCAAATGATCGAATTCATCAAAATATATTGTCCAATCACAGCTCAGAGCAGCTTTGTCTTCTCTTTCCCAGTGGTCAGAAAGGAAAGAGCGTCCCTCTCATGATCATAACTTTCACTAAGTGCCAATGAGAAGAACAAGAGGGAAAAAATATAATTGCACTAACTTGTACTGCACAAAACGTATATTTTTATATACCGTTTTTTTACGCAGAAATTGAAGTTTTTAAAAAGTAAGTGCTTAATGGTTGTCTGGCGACCGACCGCCGTGGTTCTCTCATCGGGTCAGGGATGGGGTCTTTTTTCTTTTTTACTGACCCTGCTACTATAAGCTTACGTGGTGGTACTTTGCGGCGGCGTGTTGGTTAGGGGCTCGCAGCATGTGACGTCTTGTCATGTGACTATCATTCAGACTTGATGTAAAATAAAGATCGTTTCCTATGTTCAACATTGCTTTTTCTTCATAGGAAAAGAGTCATGGGAAGATTGGGATTTTAGGCGTCAAAAATCAGGCAGTGATGCTTTAAATACGTTCATCAATTTTCATGGCTTTGCTATGATATAAAATCCATACGAGAATGCCTTTTTGTTGTTAAATGTCACTGTAGTGAATATAACGTGTATATATTCATTGTATATTTTGGGCTTTTTTTGGGAGACGGGGGAAAAGAAGCATCAACGCATGTAAAATCTACTAAATGAAACGCCTGTAATCTGAGTTCGTTTTATCGGTTGTCTCACACAAGTTTCTTTTACTTTCTTTCATATCAAGTAGTTAGAACCACTCAGTGTTTTTCTTTAGTTTTCATGTTCAGTTGGCGCTTGCATTGATGCGTTTTCATTGTTTTGTGGAAAAGCGAGTGTGTACATCATGAAGTATGTACTATTGTGAGGCAGGAGGGACGTTACTATGTGGATCATTGCGTCATTCTGCCCTGCACATTCCGATAGATGATTTTACATTAGTTTGTTTGAGCCTTTGTCTATCTGTTCCCCGTTAATCTAACTTCACTGACTGCCTGTTGCTTTTCAGCCAGGATATTAAGCTAAACACCCAAGAAAATGTGTAGAGACTCCACTTTCTTTCTTTGTAACATTTTCAGAATGTTTCAGCATCATCGTAATAATCCTACTATTCAATACAGCTCATACGATTTCTCTTTTCAGAACAACTCTTTTGGCCTTGTTTAAACTGTTGAGGTCTTGTCATCGTGTCAAGCCATTTCTTCTTTTTTCATTGGTTGAAATTTGATGCATGTCTTGTATCATCTTTGTACTTTCTTGCTTTATTGGAACCATTAGAGTTTTTCAGAAGTTGACAGTGACGTGTCTAGAGTTGAGTGAATGAACAAGAGGATGGAGGTGTTTCTGGTGTTGACTTTTGGTTGGTTGGTTGGTGATGAGTGTGATTTCTGTGGCTGTAATGTGGAGATTGAAATAAACGTGGATTTCAGGAAGATGTTTGATTGGAATTCGATTTTTACTTTATTTGCGCAGGTTTATGTTTTTATGTGTGTTAGTGCATGTCTAAAAAATAATCTCCAGTAGATGGTCCTTGAACATCTTTTTACATTTCATTGAAATTACATAATGTTTCCACAGTAAATATACACTACCACTCAAAAGTTTGGGGTTTGGGCTGCATTTATTTAATTAAAAATAACAACTACTTTCTGATTGTGTCTGGTCATGGAAGTTGGCTACCAGTGTAGTTTAATAAAACCACTTCCAGTTAAAGTAACCAAAAAAACAACAATAAAAATCTATTTTATAAAACATCAATGATTACTTCTCACACACTTCAACAGATTAACCCTTGAATGAGGTATAAAATGTGCATGAAATGAACAGTTCAGTCATAAGTGCTCCCCACTGATTACTGCATCTGTAGGAGATATTTAACACACTAAACCTTTGATAAAACAGATGCCAGGTAGAAAATCAATCACAGGGATGATGAATTCCCCTGACGTCAGCCGTATGGTCCAGTAGGTGGTGCTGTAGTTCACACCAGCAGTGGGTTGTCCAGTACTGCTACTCCTGCAGCCACTCCCCCATCAGCATGCTCTGAGCTCTTGGTCCTCAGCAGGTGGCCCACGCACTCATTAAACACCATGTCTTTGCCTTTCCTGTGTGTGGAAAAATTTGCAGTTATATTCTGTAATGCAGTGAATTTTAGGTATGCTTGTACAATAAAAGCAGAGGTTTTATTAAAGATCTGCTAGAAATGATCGCACCTGACATACGCTCCGAACACGCCCAGTTCACTCAGACAAGAGTTCAGTCTCAGAGGAGCTCCGGACCTGAGCAGGTAGTTCTGGACCGGGACGGGCTGGATCTTGTCCATCAGGATGTAAGCCGTCCTCTCAGTGGAGTTCTTCAGGTTCTCTAGCACTTCACAGATCTCACTGCCGTAAATGTTGTTACCTGTGGCATACAGTAGGAAATCTTTGAGCAAGTGTTTGTGATTTGTATGTGTGTACACAACACAGGACATGACTAGTGATACTCACCACCTCCCTCCCTCTGAGGCTTCAGCACATACCGGTCTGGATTGGCCAAAGCCATTGCTACTGTTTTATCACCTTCTTCTCCCTGTGGAAAGACAGGTTGACCATTTAAAACCCATTTCAAAAAATATATATATTATATATTTTAGTTTCAACAGTGGTGCTCAATCCTGCTTATGATGTTCAGTCTTTCTGAAGTTTAGTGCTCTACCAAGATTATCATACACTATAACTAAAATTAAAACAATTTTTTTAAATGAAAATATATTTTTCCACAAACTGAAATAAATAAAAATGAAAATAGAATTAGGAAATAATTCTAATAAAATAATAATTAGCAGAATACATCATTTTCATGTGCTCTCTATGCTATTATTTGGCCGACAATCAGCAAAAAAATAGGCAACAAGCAGCTTGACAATGGTTTCATGTGGATTGTTCATATTTCAATCATGAAAACACTGAATAGTTTTAGAATGACAATGTTATAATGTAATGTATTTGGTCTTGGCAGACTAGCTACTTGGCATACTCTGCGGAAGACATAGGATATCGGCGTAGCGTAAACTCAGGTGAGAAGTGACGAACGCGGAAGCATAAAGGAGAGAGCTAAACAAAATACTGGTCATGAATTATAAGTACAAAACGAGGATTTGTAAAAAAAATAAAAAATATATATATATACACAGTATATGTTGGGGGATTTAGATATAAGCCAAGAGGAGAAGCAAGGTTCTTGGTTCTCGTGAGACTAGCATATTCTCATCGCCGGAGCTTACGCTACGCCTATCATATCATCCGCTGAAACGCCACTCTCTTGTGAACGTGTGTACGACATTTAGCGGAAGCTAGAGATTACGGTTTATAAAGTTTTAAATATGGATATTTTTCTTACACAACTGCATTGATTCACTTCAGAAGGCTTTTATTAACCCCCCGGAGCTGTGTGGAGCCCACGCACTCATTAAACACCATGTCTTTGCCTTTCCTGTGTGTGGAAAAATTTGCAGTTATATTCTGTAATGCAGTGAATTTTAGGTATGCTTGTACAATAAAAGCAGAGGTTTTGTTAAAGATCTGCTAGAAATGATCGCACCTGACATACGCTCCGAACACGCCCAGTTCACTCAGACAAGAGTTCAGTCTCAGAGGAGCTCCGGACCTGAGCAGGTAGTTCTGGACCGGGACGGGCTGGATCTTGTCCATCAGGATGTAAGCCGTCCTCTCAGTGGAGTTCTTCAGGTTCTCTAGCACTTCACAGATCTCACTGCCGTAAATGTTGTTACCTGTGGCATACAGTAGGAAATCTTTGAGCAAGTGTTTGTGATTTGTATGTGTGTACACAACACAGGACATGACTAGTGATACTCACCACCTCCCTCCCTCTGAGGCTTCAGCACATACCGGTCTGGATTGGCCAAAGCCATTGCTACTGTTTTATCACCTTCTTCTCCCTGTGGAAAGACAGGTTGACCATTTAAAACCCATTTCAAAAAATATATATATTATATATTTTAGTTTCAACAGTGGTGCTCAATCCTGCTTATGATGTTCAGTCTTTCTGAAGTTTAGTGCTCTACCAAGATTATCATACACTATAACTAAAATGAATTTTTTTTTTTTCAATGAAAATATTTATTTTTTCCCACAAACTGAAATAAATAAAAATGAAAATAGAATTAGGAAATAATTCTAATAAAATAATAATTAGCAGAATACATCATTTTCATGTGCTCTCTATGCTATTATTTGGCCGACAATCAGCCAAAAAATAGGCAACAAGCAGCTTGACAATGGTTTCATTCATGTGGATTGTTCATATTTCAATCATGAAAACTCTTGGAATAGTTTTAGAATGACAATGTTATAATGTAATGTATAACTAGCATATTCTCATCGCCGGAGCTTACGCTACGCCTATCATATCATCCGCTGAAACGCCACTCTCTTGTGAACGTGTGTACGACATTTAGCGGAAGCTAGAGATTACGGTTTATAAAGTTTTAAATATGGATATTTTTCTTACACAAATGCATTGATTCACTTCAGAAGGCTTTTATTAACCCCCCGGAGCTGTGTGGAGCACTTTTTGTGATGGATGGATGCACTTTTCTGGGCTTCAAAATCTCAACAGCCATTCACTGCCATTATAAACCTTGGAAGAGCCAGAAGTTCAGAACATATTTTAATATAACTCTGATTGCATTTGTCTGAAAGAAGAAAGTCATATACACCTAGGATGGCTTGACGGTAGTGCTGTCAAACGATTAATCGCATCCAAAATAAATGTTTTTGTTTACATAATGTATGTGTTCTGTGTATATTTATTATGTATATATAAATACACACACATCCAGCATATATTTTGAAAATATTTACATGTATTTTCATGTCTATATTATATTCATATAATTTATATCATATATAAATATATTTAATATATAAACGTAACATATTTTTCTTAAATATATACATGCATGTGTGTGTATTTATATTATATACATAGAAAATATACACAGTCCACTCACATATATTATGTAAACAAAAACTTATTTTGGATGCGATTAATTGCGATTAATCGTTTGACAGCACTACTTGACGGTGAGTAAATAATGGGGTAATTTTAATTTTTTTGGGTAAACTATCCCTTTAAGGGAAAGTCACACTACACTTTCCATTCCATTGACTTCCAAGTGTCTGTAGAAATTGTGCATGCTTAAAGTCTAGTGTGATTATGATGGTGATTCCTGTGTAACCCTTGAGTTTGTTTCAAGTGCTTCATTAGAGTTAATCGTAAGGTATAATCGTAAATCTAATCGTAGGGTATATCTCCTCAAGCAGGATTCAGCACCCCAGTTAACAATGTTGTTCCTCTACCATGTCCAGGGTGTACAGCCCAGCGAAAGTGGCCCGAATCTGAGCAACTGTTTCAGGTTCGTCAGGGAAGAAGCGCTCCAGAACCCCCCGCCGGGCCAATTCCTGCTGCACCTTCTTAGTACCGGAGAGATGGGTACTGATGTCTGGACACTTCACAGCCAGAGAGCGCTCCATCATCAGACGGGCCTCCCAGCTCTGAAACATGCATCAGGTTATGACTTTCATTCCCAGCAAACACCTAAAACTGATCATTTCTGAGAAGACTATGGGAAAGATGTGTCCTCACCTTCTCTGAGGTGTAGTTTTGGGGCATGTATCCGTTACGGAAGTAGACAATGGCGACCTCACGACCATCTCTGCAGGTTGAATAGAAAAATAAGGCCTTTGTGTACATTTTAAATGTAAAAAAATAGTCAGGTAATGACTGAACATTGCTGTCATTTCCTAGTATTCCACAATGCTAATATTAGTGTGTTACACGGATGGGAAATGTGTAAATCATAAACACTCACACAAAGAGCCTCTTGCTCTCATCCAGGGATCCAGTTCTGCAAACATCTTCAAACTGTCTTCTTATTACAGGAATATTTCTGCACATGTAAAAGAACAGATTATCACAAGTCCCCATAAGTGGTTACACTAGTGCTGGGCGGTATACCCATATGAATATATATGAATTTTTAAAATACCGCAATACCGGTGTATGTCGCTTAAACAACGTTCTGAACGCAACATAAAAAATACCGTCATGTACCGTGAAACCGGTATCATTCTGAAAAATACCGTGATAGAAATTTTTGGTAATACCGCCCAGCACTAGGTTACACTTTATTTTAAGATGTCCTTGTTACAGTGTAATTATACTGAGAAATATTAATGAACTACATGTACTTACTATATAGTTAGGGTTAGGATTAGGGTTTGGCTTAGGGTTACTTGCATGTTATTATGCATAATGTATTGTTATTATAATAGTAAGTTCATGTAACATGTGTAACAAGGACACCTTAAAAAAAAGTGTTACCCCATAAGCTCTTGTTTGGAAGAAATAGTAACAGAGATGCTTTTGCTTCACAAACACCACTAATAAAGATGTGTTAGTAATAACAGAATTACATACATGTTGCTCATAACATTCATGTAGTTACATAGTAATTACATAGTAACTAATGTAAAATAACTTGACACTGAATCCTGACTATAGCTAAACTATCAGACTACTTACTGTACCTTTTCCACAGCTCATTCTCAACATATCGATGGTCATAAATATTCCTCTGAACGTCCTCGACCAGAAACATAACCACTGCCCTGCAAGGGACAACATGAAGAAATGACCACTTTATCATTTCAATTACAAAGTAAACACTTAAAAGCATCAAGTGCCTACAACACTAACTTTCACAATTCAATTTGATACAACCTATCAACTATAAGTACAAAACAGTTCCAAAGTCTCTGAGAATTCAGCTTTGCCAAAACAGTAGCAGATACCATTTTAAAACACACCTCTCAGATCCATAGAGCTCCCAGGCTTTGGCCAAACCTCTGGCCAGACCTGCTGCTGGGTTGTTGTCGAGCACATTATTACACTCCTCTGGCAGGTTTGCGACCTTCAGAATGTGCCTTGCAGAAATGAGAAACCTTAACCTTTATATACTAAACATCATCCAGTACTTCAGTGATGAACCAGTGCTGTTTGGAGCTTTAAATTTAGCATTTAGCTCAGACTTACCGATGGACATCTGGTGTCCGTGACGCAAGACCACCAAAACTTGCAGCAATAGTGTTGATTTCAATCTGCTTCAAAGACGTCCCACCGTCTGGACTGTGGTCCAACATGTAGTCTGAGCGATTCAAGCCCAGCACTATTGACTTGGGGAAGATATGAGCTATAGTTTAAGCAAATGTGTCTTAATAACCTACACAATAGCATTAATATTACATTTATAAGTAGTCAGCTGTACTTCATGGAAGAGGAGACGCACTGTTGATACTGTACATGTCACTACCGTTATCAGTTTAGGATTCTTTTGAAAAATGTTTTTGAAATTAGTATCTTGTATATTATAAAAAATGTGTAATACAATTTAAAATATGTTTTTAATGTAATTTATTCCTGTGATGGTAAAGCTGAATTTTCAGCATCATTACTCCAGTCTTCAGTGTCACATGATCCTTCAGAAATCATTCTAATATACTGATCTCCTGCTCAATAAACATTTGTTATTATCAATGTTGAAAACAGTTGTGCTGCTTAATATATTTGTGGAAACTGGCATTTCTTCAGGATTCTTTGATGAATAGAACGTTCAACAGAACAGCATTTATTTGAAATTGCAATCTTTCGTAACGTTATAAATGTCTTTACTGTCACTTTTGATCAATTTAATTCTTCCTTGCTGAAAAACAGTATTCATTTCTTTCAAAATCTTTTGAACGATAGTGTATAATAGAACACGAACAGTGAAGTAAATGTTCCTAACTAATGTGTAACATGCCATTTTGAATTAATAAACAAACTACTGGTAAATCATTATACCTGGGGATGATGTTCATGCTGAACTTGTTTGTATATGTTGAAAAGTCTTGCTGTAAAATTGTCAACTTTGATGGTGCTGTTGAAAAAGAAAAAACAACAACATTTATTTAGATAAGATCACACCAAATTTATTAATAAAGTTTGAATTAAAGGTGTCATTTTGATGCCTCTAGTGCCACTAAATGGAATGGCAAAAATACTGATAGAATAAAAGATTCCCAAACAATCTCCCATTGGTTGGACAGACAGATAGTCCCAAATGTTTTGTCTCTGCATATTAAGCTGGTAGAAAAGACCATATTTTAATATAAAAAATTACAAATTTCACCATTAAAATGTACAACATAAGGCAATAAGACACTCAAAGGACACTCAATGAAGTTAACTTGCAATTCATTAGGGTAGGGGATTCCCAAATATTTTTGTCAGCCAAAATTTTTGTTCCCTAGTTTGGGAAACCCTGCAATAGTGCAATCTTTTCCTACCTGGCCAGAGTTTCCTCTAGGAAGCCAGGATTCTGGCTGACCCGGTCCACCAGTCGGTTAAAATGTGTCTGTACTGCCAGAGCCTGATGAAAGAGTACTGTGGGCACCGGTGTGGGAAACAACGTGAACGGTGCATAACTCGCCACCTGTGAACAAATGGACAGTTATTTGACATGCATGTACACGATCAAAACCCTTCAGTCACTCCTGATTCTTTGAGCCACGGGTTTCTGCCCAGTGTTGACTCAACGGGGCAGAACTAACTCTCCATAATCCAGAAACAAAACATGGCCGTAGGACAGACAGAATTCCAGACGTGACTGTGAATTAACTGCACCTCTGTGACTAGATGTTGGTTAGTATTTCTATCACCATATTGGGTCCCACATTATATTAAGTGTCCCTAATACCGGTGTACTTACATAGTAACTAGATGTGTACATAGTATGTAACCACAGTGTAAGTACACATTGGTACATAGTATCTACAGCTGTAATGTTTGTGTAACTACACACATGTAACAACCCACTGAATGGTTTGTGTAAGTACAAATGTGTAACAGGACATTGGTAACAACACTTCCCCTAAACCTACCCATCTCCACCCCCTGGATCAAATTGTTCCAATTACTCTTATACATATTGTTGTTACAAAATGTAGTTATATATGTCCTGTTACACATTTGTACTTACACAAACCATTCGGAGGGTTGTTACATGTGTGTAGTTACAGAAATATTACAGCTCTAGATGTACCAATGTGTACTTACACTGTGGTTAATTAATGGATATCTAAGAGTCTTGGCTAGATGTCTTAAATCTGGGTTAGGTCTACAGTGCCACCAGGGGCTTTTCCTGTAGGGTACAGCATTTTAAATAAAAGATCATTAGAGTACATTTCACAATAAGACATTCTATTTTAAAATTTCACACTGCATTCAATGTTACTTGCCGTTTCTTTGTAAATTTTTGTGAAAGTTAGCCATTTCTGACGTCAACTCATTATTTCTTTAAGGTTTAAAGGCAGATTTGTGCTTGAATGAAGTTGTAGAAACCAGAGTTAATTGTGGGTTTTATCATCATCAGAGTACTCTTTATCATGACAAACACTTAAAGGGGTCATATGATGCGATTTCAAGTTTTCCTTTCTCTTTGGAGTGTTACAAGCTGATTGTGCATAGATAAGATCCCTGAAGTTGCAAAGACTAAAGTCTCAAAACCAAAGAGATATTCTTTATCAAAGTTAAGACTCTGCCACGCCCCCCTAAAACGGCTCGTTCCAACACGCCCCCACATATCTACCTCACTATGTGGAAATATTTGCATAATGCGCCCAAATGTGCACGCAAAGAAAGAAGGCGTGGTTTCAGTAACCGCAGTTAGTGTTGAAGCAGCATGTCAGGGAGACGCTGTGTGTTTCTAGGCGAAAGCAAAAGCACTTTATTTGGCCTTCCGAAAGTAGATGCATTTAGGAATCTTTAAGAGTACTTACAACAGAACAGCAATGCATTTTATGGACAACCGTTTCATGAACCTAGGAGAGGAGGTAATTCTGACTTTGCTATGACAATCTGGCGCTTCTGAATCAGCTACTGTTTTGTTATTAGTTTAAGTATTTGCTATTGACTGTTCAAATGCGGAGTTTTGCGCATCGTGCGTGTGTGTGTGTGTGTGAGAGAGAGAGAGAGAGTGAGAGAGAGAGAGATCAAAGTGGAGTCAGTTGTCTTAACCGTGGCTTGTGTACTGCAAACACATACCAGCTTCATCACTGTGTCTGTCACGAGACTCTGTTCCCCTTTCGGGCTCTGTCTTTACATTTATTTTGAAAGATGAAGCTCACGATTATGGTAAGGGGCGTTACATTTCCGACGCGTGCTTGCAGTTTTCGGCCAATCACAATGCACTGGGTTAGCTGGCCAATCAGAGCAGACTGCGCTTGTCAAAGGAGGGGGCTTTGTAGAAAACGAAGCGTTTGAGAGAGGCGGGGCATAGAGGACCTACAATAATGTACAGTATTTGAAAAATAATGTGTTTTTTGAACATTAAAGCATGTCAACATATTCTGTTACACCAAATACACAAAATAATGATCTTTAAAAAAGCATCATATGACCCCTTTAACAAACAGGTAAACATTTCACAAATTAATACAACACGTTTTGCCTCTTAGAAATGCACATTTGACAGTAGCTTTAATGTTTCTCATACACAACAGAACGTTGGCACCAGTGTGACTGGTTTTTATTTGCATAGTGCATAAACATTATATTGACCTTTTATTAAACTTTTGTTAGAATTTTATAGAGGAAGCTTATATTGCCCAGCCCTATCTATATCTATACATTATAAATATTATCCAGGAATGCAAATGGGTTCCCCAAGACAACCTTTCCTGCCCCAAAAGCAAAAAAAAGCTCTTGGTGGGTTTTGTGGTTTAGATCAGCAGTGCTTGTTAATGTCTAAAGGACATTTCTTCCAGGCACACAATACAGTGATGTGCTCTTACTTCAGGAGAGTTTGGCGTTTCTTTGGTCCTCATCAACACCCCATGTAAAAGTGCTGTGTCTTTTGCTACCTCCTCTATATTTGTGATCAGATTTTCATCCTTCAGGACGTCCTCCCGTTTGACAGACATGGCAGAAAATCTACAATGAGAAGGAAACACACTGTTGTCATATGCTTCATGCCAACAGCATGACAGTTACAAGAAATATGGATTTTCAGGGACATACTAATTTTCTGATACATGATTTTGCTTTACTGCAGACTTTATCATTAAACGATTATATCAACGATTACTGTACATGATAACATCAAGTTTATATTATTTAAAAAAGCATATACACATGTCATTACTCGGACTTTGTACTGGTGAGAAAAGGGAAGTGACTGAAATACGACTTAAAGCAGGATCACAGATGAATGAGACTGTATACAATAGCACCCTGGAGTGATGTAAATATCAGACACTCATCATGACACTGCACAAACACACTGGAGAACATTACAAACAGCACACTAGCTCATGTAGCTGAGTTATGATTAACGTTACCCACCTGATGTGCGCGGGCGCTGTTTGCTCACTCGTGTGGCACCTAAGGTCCTCGTTCACCGTGAGTCTGTTTGATACTCAAGAGCTCGGTTCATCTGCTCAGGTTGAGATCAGACCGACGCTTTTAGGAAGTAGCTCTAGGCGTGCTAGCTGAAGTGTGCTGCTCGTATCAACGGCTCATACACTGACAACCAATCAGCGAACAGAACGCTGATGACGCCACTGTCCACGAGGATCCTGACAGATTCTGATTTCCCGTTTACTCGTGTTTTGCTGCAGTTCTGATATTCATGTAATATATACAAGATTATTTTACTTTTAGAGACCGCGGAGAGACAACATGAGCACGAATCAGAGTCAAGTATTCCAGACAGTAACAAAGTAGGCTAACTAGATGAGTACAATTTGTAAACAAACTTTGATATAGATAGATAGATAGATAGATAGATAGATAGAATTTTGTTAATAAAATAATAAGATTAATAAAGAATATTTTGTGTCTTGTAGGTTGTTCATCTTTATGACTGACAAATCTAAGCAAAACATATCCCAAGTAAAAAAGGAAAAGCCTTTCCACAAATGGCAATGCGAAATGAATGCACTCCGGAGGCTGTATAGAAGAAAAAAGTGTCAACATCGGTATTGAATTATATTAGAAACATATTAACGGGGTATATGAATTATTCGAAACGATAATTCTTACATATATATTTGGAAAAGAAGCCACCGGTTCCAGCGTGACGCCACCGGTTCCAGCGTGACGTAGCTAAGATGTAGCTAAATATTTTACATTTAACAACTGTTTTATGATAGAAATGTAAAAGAAACAACAGTAATATCCTGTAATGCATATATGAACCTTCCCCCCAGATTTCACCGTTTTGAATCTTTAATTCCTATAAAAAGACCATTACAACATGGCTACGGCCTTGAATCAGTGTGTGCTGGCTCAAGTCTGACATATTTAGAAGGATCAAGTAGTGCTTTTTAAATGCCTAAATGATAGTCATTTTCATTCAATGCGAAGATTAATTATGCACAATTATCGCTTTATTTCATTAATATCTGAATCAGTATAGGCCGCTTTTTTCATGTCAACATTTGCCTCCATGTCTTCAGTCGGATGCAGTTCTATAAAAACTGAATAGACCCCTTTGAAGGTACTTTTCAAAAAATTATGTCGAAGAGTTGCTCTGTCTTTTCACAGTAGAGGTGCTGGTAGCCAAGTGTAACAAAACACTTTGAAAGTCTAGCACTTTCTATTCTATTTTAATTGTACTTTATCTATATTTATCTTCTTTTTTTTATTTAAAAAAACAAAACAAAACAAACACTAGCTTTCTATTTTTTCTATTCTATCTACTTGTTTTTCTTTGTGTGTGTGTGTGTGTGTGTGTATATATTATACACACACATATATACACACACACACACACACACACACCTTGCTACGTGTACTGCGTTAGGCTAACCGAGACTTGTCATTTGCACTTATATGTTAGTTTTGACTGTTTTTATTGTCCTCATTTGTAAGTCGCTTTGGATAAAAGCGTCTGCTAAATCTAAATGACTAAATGTAAGACTGTCCTCCAGGTGGCGATATTGGCTGGCGTTGACACGCGTGTTGGCACAGAAGAAGAGGTATTCTCACGAGGCTTCAATCTTCGCGATTTAATGTTTTCAATATGGCTGCCTCCTCGAGTAGGGCTGCCACTGTTAAACCGAGTGATCATTCTTCACCATCTGAAGAAACAGGGGAGGAATCGGAGTTTTGTCCGGGTTTTAAGGATGTCGATGCATTTGTCAAGGTCGGTGGATCGTTTCAATGAGTGAATTTCGTTGTCAGCGCTGTAACTAACTAACATACAGCAGTCATGTGTGCAAACGCAGTGCGGTTTGAGATGTAGCTGAATAGCTGTTCGCTGGTGTGTGTGTTTGACAGCACGGTCTGGGAGCGGTGGTCTCTGCCACGAAAGCGTCTGCAGCTCTTCCAGCAGCCGGGGATGAGTTTGATCTGTACCGCAGCTTCCCTGCCTTCCAGCAGTTCTGCGCTTCACAGGGAGACCAGCTCTTACACTGGTAAAACAGCCTTACTCACGTACTGCACCATGATACACTCATTAATATCATATGGGTGTTTTAATGGCTAACTCTTGTGATATAAATCACAAAGTAGATTTACAATTTGACATTTTATACATGGGTTCATGGAACATATACAGAAAATCAAGGTATGAATTAAAAACAATGTTCATGGTTTCTGCTTATTATAATTTTTTTAGTCTTAATTTGCCCTTCCACAAATAAAATCAGAGCAGAAAGTCTTAAGGTCATGGCATTGAATGTTGTATATAATGCCTAAAAATGTATGTCTTCCTCAGTTTTTTCCCCCCAATACAAATATTTAAACGTCCTTAAATCAAGGTGCATTTTCTTACTTGAGTTGAAAAATGAAGATGAAGCACGTTTTCTTTCTGAGAAATTGAACCAAATTATGTTTAAAACAAACAAATATCTGTCAGTGGGGTATGAAAAGTTGTTTTCCCTTTAAAGTTGATTTTTCTAAGCTCATTGACTGATACTTAGTATTTTTAATCATAATCTCACTTCCTTTTCAACAATTTTACAGAGAACAAGACTTATGTCGTTGTGTTTCTCAAGTAAACGTATCTTGATTTGAGAAACCTTAGAGATTTGTGCTGGAAAACAAGAAAAATATTGTGAAAAAAAACTTCACTTTCTTGCAATGTGACCAGAAGGTACAGTAAAAGTTATTTTCTATATTCTAGAGATTGGGAGCAGTATCTATCTATCTATCTATCTATCTATAATCTGAATTAAAACGTGATGGAGATCCATCAGATGGAGACGTGATGCTAATACAACACATTGTGTTCATTAGATTTTCTTTTCTTGGTCCTAATAAGGTTTAAAGCTATTAAACAGAAAACCCGGTTTGTTAAACAGTCCTATAGGAATTTGGAATCTGCAGCCAGTCCTAACTGGAATGTTCTTATAGGATTCAAACATAACACATGCCTACATTTGAGATGCTAGCTCACAATAGGGCCAGTATAATTTATAATATAAGATAATTATACACTGTATATTAATGAAAAGATAATAAAGGGAATGCTTATCTGGGATATAAGAATCTATTCAATCTATAAGAACACAATATACATCTATACTGATACTTCTATACAATAGCTAATTGGCCAGTAGCAAGAAAGTATTCCAATTATATCATACTGGATTTTCTTATATAGGACTATAAACCGAAATTAAAGTCAATCCTGCAAAGTTCTGCAAGAAAAACAACTTCAGTTTGGCCTCTTAGACATTGCATGTATGAAACATGAATAAATGCTTCCTTATTATTATTATTATTATAGTATTAGGGTTCATTATGTTGTAACTGGAGCCTTATTGTTCTAATATCTGTGTATATTTCTCTGACAGTATGAGCCAGATAATGCAGCATCATGGCTGTCGGTCTCACATGAGAGACAGGAACAGACTGACTGGGCTGGAGGACAGGTTTGACCTGGTGGTGGACTCAAACGATGCCATCCTCGAGAAAGTGGTACGAGGCTTACACTGTGACACCACTGAGATTCAAGCTTCAGGGGCCGGTTGCATAAAAGGTTTAAACTAGTCTTAAAAGTTAGTCATCTAATTTTGTTCTTTAAGACTGGTCAAAATTTGTAAAATTCGATTACATAAAAACGTAGATTAGTCTAAGCTGAATCCAAAATATAAGACTGATTACCCCTTGGTTAACTGCTAGTTGGTCAAACTGGTTCTTAAGACACGGTCTTAACATAGACGCTAAGTTTATGCAGCTGGCCCCAGGTCTTCTGCTTTGTCTGTATATGTCTGTCCATCAAGCCCATTCGCACCAAGAATGATAACGGTAACTATCAAGTTTTAATAATTGTTCTAGTTCTATGAGAACAGTAAAGCCCACACTGATGAATGATTAAAACATTCACAGCCAATCAGAATCCACCTGGCTTTTAAAAAAACTTGAGCATTTAAAGCAGCAGGCAATATAAAGTAGGGCTGGGCGATATGACGATATATATCGGATGGACGAAATTAAGTCTATCGTTTCATATTATGCTCTATTGTTTATTTCGTGGTGCCGCAAAATACATTGTTTACGGCAATACTTTTTCATCATTTGAATGACGGCAGTCTTACATGCATTAGCTACTTTGTAGCTAGATTTAGCGACTTACCCGCCCCTTTTGAGACTTTTTTTCAAAAGTTTATGGACAAATATAGCAACTTCTTGGACAAACCTTATCTAAGTTCTCATCTTGCCCACTGATCTACGTTCATCTTTATATAGATCAGTGAATTTGCCATTGTGATGTCATCTAGTGAATGTTTGCACGCGTTTTTAAGCACTGCAGTTTAAAACGACTGATTTTAGGCCGTTGAAACACAAACAGAGCTATATGCGTGTGCTGTCTCTGTTTCTGTGTGAGAGGAATGCGTAAGCCGAGCATCAGCTGCTAATAGAGCTCGTGAGCATTTTTGCCGCTTTATTGGCTTTGAACGATAAACACTTATATGCATCCAAATGCCCGGCTTTGCAAGTAGCCTCATAAACACAGCCATTTAGGTCTTAAGGGAACGTAAACAGTTGCGAGAGAAAGCGCATGTGTAACAGTATATTGGATCCGGACTTCGGTCTTAAAGGGGGAAGCTGTCCAATATTCGTCCTGTCTGCCATTCATGTTAATCAAACAACAGTGAGAGAAAATCTCTCTTATTCTGTAACTAGAATTAGAAGAAAATAAATAAATAAATAATGATAATGCTAATAATTATGCCTATACTGTATATATATGGATATATAGATTAATTTAATGTATTTCTTATTTATTGTAGTTTATTGTCCTATTGCTTGTAGTTAGTTTCTTGTTCTTATTTCATCACTGACTGTTTATTTATCTCCAGTGAGCTTGAGTTTTTTTATTTTTTTTATTTTCTTGTATTATTTTGATATCGACATTGGTGACAAGGATTATGAAATTTCTATGGTATGAAAGATTTTAATATCATTAAAACCGTATTAAAAGGAAAAAAAAATTAACTATATCGTGATATATCGTTATTGTGATAAAATTACTCATATCGTGATACAAGATTTTGGTCATATCGCCCACCCCTACTATAAAAGCAGAGTGAGCTATTAATATACAGGATGCCTATATAGCATTTTCAGTATAGTTATCATTCTTGGTGTGGGCAGGCTTTT